AGGAAACATCAAAGAAGAACCAGAACATCAGTGAAAAGCAACTTAGCAAAAGTCAGCTGCTTCTTATGAAGAGACAGAGACACCTAGAGACATTTAGAAAATGAAGACTAAGGAAGTACTCACAGTCTTGAAAAACCATGACTTAAGAATAATGATGAGATAAGCATTACCCATACTACACACTATCTCTCCTCACATTCAGGTGAATAACTAGTAAAGTTAGGCTTTCATTCCTTGTTCTGTGCAATCTGTATTTTCTGTTACTTTACCAGGTAAATCTCTGTTTACTTCTCAAGTCATCAAAAGATTAGGAAAGCTACAGCATATTAATTTTTCTGAATAGTCTTACAAAAAATCCACCCAATTTTTGTAATAGCTTTTAAAGAAACCACGCAAGTAAGCCTGGCAGAACCGGCATACTAAACATTCCTGAAGGAAATTTGTATTTTCCTAGGACAATTATTCTTTTACAAACTGCTTCCACTACATAAATATATCTATGCCTTTACACCTTCCTCAGGTAAAATTCTCACTGACTTCACCGGGAGTTTCTCAAAAGAAATGAATATTTCATAATGCTGTAAATCCCAACCCAGATTGGATTTCTTATTCACAATCAAAAATTGACACTGATTTTGATAAAAAATTGAGTAGCACAAGTATTTCAGCACAAGTATTTCAACACAAGATAGGAAGTCCTAATCATTTTCAGAGACAAAGTAGCCATGCTCAACTTTTTTTTATATTATCAATGAAGAATGGCATTTTCAGCCAATGGAAACCCTGTTGAGGGCAAAGGAAATGTCTGAATTTATTCCATGTGAGAAGGACGTTGCTATTTTACCAAAGGTAGAGTTTTCCACTGCATATACGTTCTTGAAAACTATCAGTGCTCTTCCCAAGATGAGAGATATTAACTTTTCATGCATTAAATTGGTTTGACGCATTTTGAAAAGGAAACGTTTCAAAGACCCTTTTTTTCAATTCTCTCATTGGCAATTTAAAATTTCAATAAATCAAGAAATGTGACCTATAAAGATCAACATAAAATTGACCTTTCACCTTCATTAGTTCATTACACCTGTGCAAAGTCAGTGCTGACTATCAATCAGAATAATAGGATTTTTACAGCTTCTTTCTCTAGCATAAAGGGCTGCAGGGATACTGAGACAAAAATAGGCCTGGGAAGTCTGATGCTAGTAATTCAAATGATCTACAGGCTCAATTGATTTCAAAGACCTTAGACAATTTAGACTAGCTAGGAATCTAACACCTTCTGATTAACTTGCTGTCATAATGACCTGCTCTTGAAGGAAAGAACAGTAGATCTCCATTACCTGCTCCATTTCTACTCCAGAGCCATAGGGAGAGGCAGTAAGTCAGAAGGGTTGGGACAAGTCCTTAGAGTCCAAACGTCACAGGAATGGCCAACAAAAATGCTAATTAAAGAACAAATTGGCCAAGCAGCTTTACAAACTGACTCAGTGTCCATGTCCTGAAAGCTTTAGAAAGCGAAGGTTAGCTCTAGAGTTTAAAGAGCAGGTTACCTGATGTTTTTGCAGATCAGCACTGCTGTGGGAAAGGGCAGCACCTGGAACGTGCCCATCGCCAGGAGATTTCCCTGCCCCGGTGCCAGGGGAAACATGGGAGGTGGCCAGCAGCTGAGCGCTGATGGGACCGTAGCCATTGGAAGGCAGATGAATGTTGTTTGAGGCAGCAGCTACTTCATCTTCATCACCCGAGTCCGTAATCAGGATAAACTCAGCCTTAAAAAGGTCATTCTCCTGCATTTCTCCTTTGCTCGAGTTACACCCCGGGGTCGGGAAAGTTGTTCGGGTGCTGTCTGTATGGACGGCAGGCACACACTCTTGTCTGGCCCTGCTCTTTAAGGCCAGCTCATCAGAGACTGCGCTAGACTGCAAAAGATAGAAGGAAAAAGATCCCAATTAGCTGCATTTTATTTGTGTTCCCCAAAATGCAAAGTAATTTTGGCTTGCAGCAGTGGCTGGCACCGTGCTACCAAAAGTGCAGAGAGCAAATGAAGAATTTGGGCATGAGCACTTAGCAGAAACCAGCTCCCAGGGAGCCCCCCGCTTCCAGCCCCTCCAGCCGATGCGGCGGGGGCTGCCTTCCCAGCAACTTGCAGAGCAACAGGGGACTCTGAGCACAACGATGGCCCGAGCCCGGGGCTGGCGCGGGAACCGAAAAGGAGGGTGCAGTCAAGCCGAATGAGCTGTCAGACCAGACTACGCCAGACACTATGGGAAGGCATCCCGACCCTGGGATCCACAGGAGCGGACAATGCTCCTCAGAGGAGTCTGACAGACAAATCTGGGACAAAACCTATACATATTAATGAAGAAACAAAGGCCTTTAAGCCAGGGGATTCTCTGAAGAGAGCAGACAAAGAATCTGAGGTCAGAGAGCTTTACTGTACGTTCAAGCTTCTCAGCACAGACCACAATCGTTCTTTGTATTTTCTGCAATTTCCACTTCCAGTATGTAACTTCTCAAGCATGCTTTGGATGAGAGCAGGAGTAGTGCAAGCTGGGTATATGATATGCACATCACCACATCATTCAGTATTGAAACTGCTACGGTAAATCATATTTCTCTTGAGGGATGAATCATGTAAAAGAATAGAAATACTGTGTACTGCAAGAGAAAGCCTGTAGATGGGGCTCATATTTGAATCCTGCTTGAGGAATACAGTAATGACAAATTTCCACTGGCAGCTCCACAAGTCCCTGGAGCTCAGTTCTTTAAAAAAATATTGGACCATAAAGGGGGATATCACCAGTATGACTTTATTTTCATCATCTGGTGTTGGTTGGTTTTTTTAAATACTGTTCAGGTTCTAGACATTTTAGAAAAGGGAGTAATCAGTGCTATGAAGGCCTGCATCACCTGCCAGGGAAGTTTTCCTTGCCTACAGAGAAACACAGGGAGACAGAGCTCAGGAATACCTGATTCTGCCTTACCCAGGGCACTACTTACAGCAAAACCAATACTGAGTGGCTGGAAATGTAACTCATGAGTTAAACTTCCTGAGGATAATATTCCAGTGCATGTCTCTTCAAATATGTCCATTCTCTGCCCAGGCCAACACCTTTTTTAGGCAGATAGACCACTGAAAATGATGGAGCATGCTCAGATCAGAGGACTCTGAATGTGGATTAGCACCAAGAACTGCAGCCCCATCGATGTCCCAGGGAAGGAGCTGTTACACAAAAGCAGAATCACCATAGCATTAATCTTAATTTGAGGGTTCTAGTTTCCTCTCAAGCAGCATGGAATAAAGTAAGAGGCTGTTAAGCGTCACGACACAGGAAAGGAATAACAAACACTGTGGGCTGGCTAAAGGCAGGAGAACCAGGAATGTCGTGCTGCTGGCTTCACCATCACGGGAAATCGTGGGGACAAGCTTTCAAAAACAAAAAGCAAGCTTTCACTTTGATGCATTACTACGCAGCTATGAAAGGGATTGGCACCTTTGCTGGAAGCCACAGCACTGGCATTTGCTGAAACCAGGATCCAGTGACCAACTCTTGGTCGATTCCCATGTGACAACACTCCTCACACACCACCCTTGCTCCCATGAAGATCAGGAAGGAATCCCCCCTTGTCTGCCAGGAATATAGCCCTTGCATGACTGACAGAGGACAGTATCGAGATGAGCAAGGGTTTCCTTCCAATATAAACTCTGCCAAAGGCAAAACAGGCTGTTGAGCAGATATCAGCCTTCTCCTGCGCAATGATTCTGCATCTCTGGTAGCTTGGTAATTAAACTGAAGCATAAGCCAAGAAACAGTCCAAGGGGAAGAGCTTCAGTTCAGCGATGCTTAGGACAAAATTTTCTGTATCTTTTGAAAGAGTGGAAAAATTAGCACAAACAAAAACCTACCTTATTTATAATTTCTTTATTGCTCAGATCCTTTGGCTCATCTGGAATTGTCACAAGGAACTTAGAGACATCTACAACCTCAAAATGAGTTGGAAGTCTTCCAATGGATGGCACGAATGTGAAGGTCAATGGTTTGGTTCCAGATTCTTGAGAAGTGACCTACAAAACACACAATTAGTTCAACTATTTTGTTCAAATAAAAATTATTTTTGTCAGAGTTGAAATAGCATTAATTGCTTCATCTGTGTAACTTACAAGTCTGTTATTAACTATACTGGTCATGTTTTCTTTTAACAGGTCATTGGATATTAAGGTTGTCTTTAACAGACAGAATATTGCCTTGATTATACCCATCAATATCCTATATATTCTAATGGCATGGCACCGCAGACAGAAGAAAATTTGTTCAATAATTTGTTATTCTTTCCATTTTCCATACCAGAAACAGAAAACCATATTAAATTCATTTCAAGGCTGCTTTTATCTTTGTTTAACTCCACTTTAGTAGAACAACAATGTAATTATACTGCTATATCTGGACCTAATATAGCCCCTAGAGTATTTGCTTAACAACCTATAACAAATTGGAAGAACCTTTGCTCTGCAAAAAGAAAGCAAAACATGTTTACATTTTCTACTGCAAATACAGCTAATTCTGAACAACATCTGGGATGAATTCTGATTCAAGGAAAGGATTTTCTCCCATTTTCTTTGGGCCATTCAGCCACATACACCAACTACTCCTGTGTCTGTCTTCTCATTTCTCCCTCCTCAACTTGTATTCTCACTAGAACAGTGTATGTAGGGCCTGAATGCACTGAAAAGAAGAGAGACTAAGAGAAGGCAATTTCACCTAAACCCTCGGTTTTATGACAGTGGTCTCCCATCACTTCCATCTCCTTTACAGGAGATACTGGACAGGAAAAAGAAGTCCACAACATGGTAAATTTCTAACTCTCAGTTGCTTTACCAGATAACAGAGAGAGGAACTCCAAAGACCTTGGCAAGGAGGGAACCACATCCCAAACTACTAAACCTGATAGGCTGACTCTCCCACTCCTTGTTGGTGTAGAAAATCCTTCTTTCTGATTCAAAACTATGGAATGTATAGGCTTTCCCTTGTTTTATCATCTGATTTAAAGCTTATAGCAGTTAATTGTGTTTTCAGTGAACTCTAGTATGCAGAATTTTGAACTGTATCGAATCATAGAGAAAAACACTACCATTGCTTTGACTCTTTTTTTTGGCTTACTTGTTTAAAGTGAAACAAATTGGAGAGCTATAGCTCTCATTATGCTTCTTTGTAATTCGCATCCATAAGTAAATAGCAATTACAGAACAGAGTGGGATTATTGAATACATTCACATGACTCAGTCTTCTTGTGGCTGGAACATTAAAAATGATAGACACAGATTCCAAGTTTTAAAAAAATCTAAGCGAATATTAGTTACTTCCACCGACAGCTGTCTCCTAGAGGGCTTGAGCCAAACAGAGGCAGGTTATTTATACAGACACTGCCAACTGCTGTTTTCTCTACACCTTAGGAGAACTCTGCTCTCTCAGACACACCCAGAATAAACTTCCACGTGTCCACCTCTAATTCTGAAAGAATAAGGTGTTTTGATGTTTGAAAGTGAAAAGTCTGAATAAATGGCAGACATCTCGGTTCTGAAATCAGGCCTTTATATTCACAAACTCACACAAGTAGGTTACGTTACACTGCAGGCTTGCTACCGAGTTAGAAGTGTGCAGTGCAAGGGTGCAAAGACAAGGTGGTCTCCCACTTTCCCCACCTCGACTTCACACAAGTGGCCATGGAGCACACAATGCATGGCCTGAATCGGTAGCAAAAGGGTGGCTGCTAACTGCACCACGCCAGGGGCTCTGAATGTTACTTTGTGTGAGGGAGAAACAACATAGCTCTGTCCTTCTCTAAGCAGCCAAGGTACCCGAGTCCCATCACTGCTCTTAATAAAGCAGCAACACAATTTTAAAATATTAATAGCTGGCACATTAAGCACTTAGTCCTTGCTCCTGATACAAATTAGCAGAGTAACATCAGCACTCAAGGACATACTCATTAGCGAGCAGCTACCAGTCCCTACAATGCGGCCAGGGATGCAGCCTCCACCCGAGCACCTGCTGTACCCAACGGTGCTCTTCAAGAAGTGGGATTACCTGCACGCAGGCAGGAGCACCAATTGGATTGGCATTAGTGATTTCTGTACAGCTGACACTGTCCATTACAGTCTTACACAGCGCCTGGGTCTCCACTGAAATCAGCTAGAGATGGCCTTTGCTTTCCTGCACGTCTGCGGCTGTGCTTTCATCTTCTCAAACTAGGAAATGCAGTTAGTGACTCTGGCTACCTCAGTCGTCTTTACTAACATTTTCTCCCTCTACCTCACCCTCTTGTCATGCTCTTGCTTGATACTTGACATCAGTTGTTTTGTATCAGTGAGTATTCTTTTTCAGAGCATAAAATATTCCTTACAAAAGAAAAAGGAAGAGAGAAAGAAAAAGTGTGCAAATAGCAAGCCCCCACACAAACAGATTAATAGAAAATTCCAATCAAATGTGCTAGCATTGCTAAACTCCCAGTACTTTATCTGCATTGTAATGAGGAAATACCATCAAAATCCAAGTTATGAGGCTCCAGCCCATCGCATAGCAATGGCTCCCCATAGTAATGGCACCTACTTCTGCACTGTGTCTTACCCTGCACTTCCAATTTTATTGCTTCAGTGGAAAACTTAAAGAATACATGAAGAAAGCCTTGTTGTACTTGGCCTAAACACATTGTGGAAATAATCACCAAAATTGCTTGCAAGCTAAAACGAAGATTGGAAAATACATATAAAGATGTACAAGCTAAAATATTTTTTCAGGTGGAAGATGCCATTAAAGCATGGTATTATTTATATTCCCCTAGTGTATTTTATTCTTCCTGGAGTTTAGAAAGTATAAACCAGCAAATAGAATTACGGCATTTCAGAAAGTTTTAAGTTGTCAGATACTGTGTGAGGCAGTGTGGAGGAATGCACTCCACTTAGGTTCACTCATAGTGAGGGGGAGACAGGAACTTCTAGCAGGTAAAACTGGTCACGCAATCTAGGTTGCATCACAGAAGCCTAGACAACAAGCAAATATCACAAGAGTGTTTAGAAAAAACACGTTTCCACTGGGGAAAACAAAAGAAAAAACCTCTTGCTTAAAAATATCTTTTAAGTGGTTGGTTTCATTGTACAGATTTCAAAAAAATAAGTAAAAATACTTTGACATTTTAAAATTTCGGTTTTAATTAGACAACATGAAGCAGAATTTTTTCTTACGTAATTTTTTTCTAAGGTAGAGAAAGGATTTTTGCCCCTTTTTTCATATACTCATCTCATTTACTATATCTCTCTGGCTAATGTTTCTGTCCTTGAGGAACTGAAAGGAATGAACAGGGTGGACTTTCAGCATTTAATTACATCTATTAAAAGCCTCTCCGACATGTAGAGGTAAATAATAGTGAAATAACCTTAAAATTCAAATATATATAAATATATAAGTGAAATTTTCTTACAGATTATCATCTTTTCTCTATACCCAATAGCAACAGCAGAAGGAATTCAATGTCATATATTCCCTGCTGCTGTAATTCATTTGAATCAATAGAGTTATGGCAGCAGAAAAATACCATATGTGATGTCTATTCAAGTTAATACTAATGAATTCTGGTTTATATTATATAATCAACTTTATGCACAATGAAATAATTGATTGGTTTTAATTGCATCCTTTCATGTTACTTCTTGAAGAATATAAATTACAGAGTTTAATATAAATAACCTTTGAATATCCATTGGGGGCTATAGGCTGCCACATAATACATCGCCGAATAACTTCAAAAAGAGAAACTTACTCTAGATGACTTCCATGACTTCCTATGTCATCAATTTACAAACAGGTTTGTTGTATATTTAATACCATCAATTTACAACTGCCCCAGGGATAGTAACTTAAATTATATTAATTATGGTTTTCATTAACACAGCTTCTACAGTCCTTAATGTGTAGAGCACATTTTTATTGTCTCGGTTACTTTATGAAGACAAATGAACACTTCTATTTAATCTCTCGCAAGCCTTATATATATTCAGCATACTGCCTATTTTGTAATTTAAATTGAGGTCCCATTGTCAGTGATTGCTTCCCGGGATCTCCTTCTAGAATACAGATTGCTAAAGTGAAATTCAATATGCTGGTTCACATTACCACTTCTTCCACTGATTTGCTAATGTAAGCCATTTCACTAATAAAATGACACCCTCAGAAACCCCCACTTTTAAAATATCACGTACTTCCTTTTGAGGCTGTTTGTTTATTTGTTTAAAGCACAGAAAAGGAAATGGGTGCATAAATAATAGCAAAATAACAAGCATGTTCATCATACCAGAGAAACACATTGACTGACGCGCTGTTTTGGTCAGAGCACACATTCACATGCCCATAATTCCTGCGTGATAAATATAGCTCTAACACACAGAGCACAGCTAAAGCAGCTCACCCAGCCAGGGAGAGGGGCCATCCGAAAACATGGCCTGGGTTGTGTAACCTCTCCTTAAACTCTTCTGTGTTCAGACTAAAATCAAACCACAGAAGAGCCATTGTCTCCTCCTCGAGACAGGCGACAAGGCTAGTCTACTACAGATTAAATGTCAGTTAATGAGATGTAGGAAAATTCAGCATATCTTCATATCCTGACTTCTTATAGCTATCACACTAACCTAATACGGATTAGCTGATTATTGTGCAATATGAGCTCTGGCTTATCTAAAACCTTTTACAAACAGCAGCAGATGAACATCTGAAAACCAACTTTATATGTGTGAAACTTCAGGGGAAAAGCTAAATCCACTCCAAAAGGCCAGGATGAAATTACAGCACAGCTGAAATTTGTGCCAAAATTCCTACCAACAGCTGTGGTCCAGGAACTTCCCCAAGCCCTGTGATGTGCCCATTGTACCACCTTCAGCAAATCACTTTTGCTTCTTTCAGTACAGCAGGACACACTAAAACGCACATGCAGACAAATATATTTTGAAAATTAATGTGTGTAAAGCAGTAGAAAGAGCAAATGAATAATAGTATAAAATTGTAATCTATTATTCAA